TTCTAACAGACCTTCATGGGGAGTGTTAGCTTCACTGCACTGGGTACCAGTGTGTATCACCCATCCTGTGTGCCTTTCCCACCCTCTAAAACAAATGATTTTCAACCTGGCTGCCACAGCACCTTGGATGCTTTGAAATCCTTTCAAGAGTGTCATAGGGTGCCACACAACACTGTTACGTGTGCTAGTATGATTCGCAAGACAAACCCAGAAATTTCATATAGGAATCCTTAGTATTAAAACACATTCTGACCTGATGTGGTCTTCCTGAGTTCTTTGCAACAGGAGCATTGCTCTATTATTTTTCTGTAGTCAAAAAAAAATTCTGTAGCTTAAAAAAAAATTAAGTGCTGGCATTTTCCAAGAGGATCTTCACTCTAAAGGGCTAAATACAGACATTCAAAAAGCCCAGGCCTGAACTGATTCAATCTTTGCAGGTTAGTTTAACCTGCATCGATTGAACAGAGAAGCAAGTGAACAGACATTCACTTTTGTTTCTGGAAATGTAGCACATGCCTGCAGTGGCTCAGGCTAGAAGCTGGGGGGCACTAGAGCGAGCCCTCCTTTCAGCAGTGGCCAGAAGGCTGGAGGGAAGCTGAGCTGGGGGGTGGGTGAGGAAGGGAAATGGCCAGGACCTGGCAGGCCACTGAGCATGACTGGGAAGGGATTTAAAGCCCCACCCTGGCCTGCATGGTCCCCAGCTGGGGCCTGCCTGGAGGGGGAAGCGGGAAGCAGCCCCTGCCAGGCTTGTCCCCAAGCAGAGGAGCATGGCCAGATGCCAGCCCTCGGAGGCAGCATGAGGTGAAAGAGGGGTGAGGATTAAATCCCCCTCCCCCACCACCACCAGCACAGGACCCCAGCCGGGGTCTGCCTGGCTTCCCCCCCCACTCACCACTTGAGTGGCGGGGAAAAGCCAGGTAGACCCCAGCTGGGGTCCTGTGCTGGTGGGAGAGGGGAGGGAGGGGGGATTCCCCACCCCACCCTGGTGGCCCCTGGAGCAAGGAGTGGGGTAGGAGGAGGGCAGAAGTATGGCAGCCCTCCCCCATGCAGACCCAGGCTAGTGTCTCGTGGGCCATGGAGGGGGTTTGAACTCTCCTTCCTCCTCTCTTCCTGAACCTGATGGCCCACGCCCCCAACCTCCTCCATTCCAGTGGGAAAAAAAGTCTGGCAGGGGCTGCTCCACCCCTTCCAGGCAGATCAGGCTGCATTCCCAGCCAGGTTTTCCACCCCACCTCCTTGACAACCAGCCTTCACTGCTCTGGCTACAGACCAGAGGGGTTGGGCCAAGCCTGCTCTGCTCAAGCAGACAGCACAGCCCAGCCCAGAGCTGCAAAGCATCCTGGGATGCTGGGGGACTGTGAGTCAATCTGAATCAGGAAGGGGTCTGGGATAGAAGTTCCATACACTAGTTTGACCTAAATCAGGTTGATCTGGCCTTAAGTATCTGGGGACTGATCTGAACCCCAGTGACGTTAGTTTTTGGCTTTCTGAGACTGAATGGTAATTTGTAGTCTAGATGCCCAGATCAGCAAAAATGCATCATTTAAATTACTCTTATTTGCCATGTTTACTGATCATAACAGTAAGGGAAATTAAAAACTAAAAGCAAATTGGAACTACCAAAACAAAGAGCACATGGTTAAGAATGAAAAATTGTATTGAAATTAAATCATATCTTCAAATCACAATTTTCAAATTTCAGTGCTCAAGTTATGCACTTAAATCCATCTCAACATAAGCAGGATGTTAGCAAATGTTTATTCAGGTGTCTAGTTTGGAATACCCACCTTTTTAAAATGGTGGTCTCAGATTTCAATCAAAATTCCCCAGGATCTACACGATTTAGGATCAAAGGCACTCATGAGATCAGAGGATTCCAAGTTAAGTAAGAAACTACTAGACTGCAGTGTGCAGTTATACCATGTATGAGAATACAAGTGTCTTGCATGCATTTTGAATATCAAGGCCATAGGTCAAGTGCCTTTCTCCACTTACAAAGTTCAGTCATTTTTAAATAATTTCACTTCCTTGAAGTGTTATTGATTTTGGGGGATTTTACTGGAAAGGAAGCCTGAAAGGTCATGTAATTACAGCCCAGCTTAGGAAGTCAAGGGACCCAAATTTCATTCCTGGCTATACAGCAAACTTCCTTTGTGACCCTGAGTGCATCAGAGAATGTCTATGGGCTCATCTAGATTGTGAAAATGAGCAGCATTTCAAACATGTCAGCTATTGGACAGATCACAACCTAGGAAATGTGATTTTAAACATCACCATCTTAAAACAGTTCCACTGATACGATCTGCATTAAAAGTAGTGAAAGACTGTGCTAAAAAAAAAAAAAAAAAATTATATTGCGCAGATAGGCTCTCAAAATATTAGGGAAAAGCCAGGATCAAGGTTGCCCATGCAACTTTAATTTGGCCACCTTGTGCTTGTGCTTCATGACACTTGATCACATATTTCCTCTACTGGACCAGTCTCATTCAGTGCATGAGACAGGTACTGCTCATTGAGCAAACAACTATTCAATATTCTGTTTCAACTTCATTGCTCAACATATCCTGTGACTTATTTACTAACCACTATTCAGATCCTGTTCAGACTGTAGAAATTTTGATTTCCTTACGGGTTTTTTTTATAGTGTTTATCACTTTTTTTATGGTAGTTTTCACAAACTACCTTGTGTTCATAACACCCCTCTTAGGAGAGCAGGTATTGCTCCTATTTTACAGAGGGGAAATTGAGGCACATTCATTAAACAATTTGAGATGTTAATGGTTTCATTTTTCACTATATTTCTCATTAGATAAGACTTCACATGTTGAAACCACAGCTTCCATTAACCTCATCCACACCTGAGAATATTCAGTACTTCTTCCAAAGAAACCTCAAAAAAAGGTAAAACAGGCTCTTTGCAATCACTTTTGTGAAAAGTTTGGTCTTAGTGACTTGCATAGTATCACAACATGGTTGGTGACAGAAGCAGAGAATATTTCAGCTTCCTTGGCAATGAAACATTCCTTTCAGTTTTGCATTCCTGTACCTCCCCGGCCTCTTTTATTATATATGCCTTCCAACTCCTGTAATAAATGAGTCAGACAACTTAAACAACACAGCCTCCTTCTCTATGCAGCCCAAATCTATGCGCTGAATGAGAAACACACTTATGCACACAGATAGGCATGCATAAGAAATGTTCACACGCTTCTGAACTTTGCAAGGAGGGCAGACCTTGAAAATCATAAAATTAAAAAAAAAAAACCCACCAAGCTAAGAGCTTAGAAGATTAGACTTCAAAAGAGACAAAAATAATCTGAATCATCACTTTTACAAGTTTTACTGCTGAGTAGTGTGTCCTTCAAAAGCCCCCTTCTCTGTTCAAAGCTTGACCTGCTTTATATAAAGTTCTTTTTGATTCTATAAAAGTAGATTCAAATATACCGTGGAGACAGGACCAGCATAAGTTTGTATATTTAAAAACAAACAAACAAACAAAAAACCCAATAAATTTATAAATGAGGTCACAAAATCTGGAAAATAAATAAATAAATAAATAAATAAATTAAACCCCTCTTCCTTGCCCTAAAACAACACAAAAACCAAACAAAACCTTCAAAATACTAAACTTAGCCTGGCTCAGCATGAGGACTATGCTCTATCAATCCTGAGCAGTATTACGGTATTTCCACAATGCAGTCTGCTATTGATAACAAGAATGATCCTGCATAAGTCAAAAGTCAATCAGTGTTACTGCTTCAGTGAATCTATCAGCTTGCCCTGTAAACATGGCTTTCAAATAAATAGATGCTATCAATCAACATTCACATTCCCAAGCGATTTCCAGTGGGGAACAAAAATTTTAGGCCCTGGAGCTATATATATTTTAAAAGATCTCCAGACAGATGTTATACAGAGAATGGCTTCAAATTCCTTACGCAGTTATTCTCAGAGAAAATCTGACTACCGTCAATAGCACTATTGGCAGGGATAAACAATATACTTTAAGACAGAATGTAACCTAGTCGTAAGTTTAGATTTAAAAAATACATATGTTGCATTAAATGACACAACCAGAACATGAACACCCTATTTTTGGACACGTAGATAAACCTATAAAAACATTTTGGCAACAAAATCTTCAAATCTACGGCACTTTTAAAGACACAATTAATCAGATTTAAAAATATTCTGCAGAACATTTTAGCAGTATTACAGACATTTGCATTTTGTTACCCTGTTCTGCCTGTCTCCATATACAAACATCAAACTTCCATCTTTTTTGTCCACCCAATTGTGCAAGATGACATGTACCACTAGCATCTTATAGCTTTACCTCTCTGCTTAGCAAAAGGGAGAAAGAAATTAGTCTTGAGAAAAAAAGTAGCATGCTGGAAAAAAATTAATGTTACTTCTTCCTCCGCTACTGTCTTAGGAACAACAAAGTTATAACGCTCATAAAACAAGCATTTATATTTAACAACAGCCCACCCTCACCCTTCACACTACAAACTGGTTCACATCTGAACAAAAATACAAATAGTAGTCTGCTTTTAAAAGCCAGACAGTTAATATTACATTGCCAGACACCAGCATCAGAGGATAAATAACGTACAAAATCAGCATACAATTTCTTGAGACGCACACACTTTCCTGTGTGTTCAATCTTGTATATCTTGTGTACTCAGAATTTCCACCTCGTGTCAGTGGAAGTTTATGGACCACCAGAAATGCATATTTAAGCCCTTTATTTTGGGGTACATTCACACCATAATTTGCCCTGGTGCCAGCCCACAATGAAAGCAACTTATTGGAAGTTCTAAACAATAAACCAGAGATGCACAGACATGTTTACAGACAAGCTGGGCAAGAAGGGGTGGAAACAAGTGGTTTTTATAGTTCAAAGTACCTGAAAACAAGATTTTCCATGGGGAGCATGCATTTCTCAATATGGCTTCTCTTAAATGTTTGTTTACTTTTATCACAGTTACTGCACTTACCAATATTCTGTTATCCACTTTGTCACCCTTGGTTTCTAGCTTTACTTTCTTCTTCACTGATATTTTAATCTTCCTCCCAATAACATCTTTGATGCTTTCTGAAATATTGGAGAGAATAGCTTCAGAGAGGCATAGAATGTTACAGTCATGTTTTCAGGGCAGATTCCTCACAACCACATTTTGTCAGACATTCTTCTGCCCTGATCCTCCCAGTCATACTCATTATATTGTATAAAGCTCACTCTTGTGCACGTGCACACACACGCACGCACACACCCCAATCAGACCCTAATAAAAATAAAGTTATGGTTCATTTTATGAGAAATTTCTCATCTAGTTCAGTAACAAATCTTTTGTCCTATATAAAGACTACAGCCTTATTCTGCAAAAAAAACAAAACAACAACAACAAAAAACAACCAACCCTAAAATTATTACATATTTGTTTCCATTCTATTCAGGCATTAAAAATATTTCTAAAGATGCACCTCAGTATTTCCTAACTCTATGAAAATCAAATAGCTCCTTTGTTCATCACTTTCAAACATTAGGAGTAAAATTCTACTCTCATTTACACCTGAAAAGCATGATAGAGTCAATGGATTTGAGGTAACAATGCAGGCTTCAGCCCTCTGTTATTAGCATTATTAGGCGAGACATCCCATATAAAGGAATACAGAGTTATGATACCATTTCATCCCAATCCAGATGTTAACATCTGAAAGCTGTAGAGCACTGTCTGTGAAGCACATTAATGGTTTCAGTCCAAGTATTAATGATTATGTATCTGCTTCAACATGAAAACTTACATTCATTGACATTTTTTTTCTTTTTCACAGTCTCCTCCAAGTACAGAATCAAGCTAGAAACTAACAAACCTATTCTCTAGGGGTCATGACCCTGACCCGAAGGGACCCCACAAGCATGCAGCAGCATCTGGTAATTTACACTGATGCTCACCCTGACGTAATAGAGATAAAACACAGGAATTTGCTATCCAGAGCAGTTCACCTGGCAAATTTTATAAGTTCTACCTCTTCACTCTTCTAAAGAGATGTAGAGAAGAGGAGAGATATGTCTGAAGGGCTTGCATCTCAAGTACCATGACTGGTATGATTTAGAGGCAAATGATTTTTTCCCTTCTACATTCTACTCCTGTCTGGACTAAGATTTAGAAGTACGATACTGAAAACCAGCCCAAAATCTTCTCCCAAAGCTTTTGCCAATTTAGCACATTTTAAAAGTATTGTTTCTTTTCAACAGTAAACCTTTCATACACTAGTTAGAATGTGTTAGTTCTAACACCATGCCTTTTATACTGGTCTAAATAAGGTCAGAAGTCCCTTAAGTGAAGTGAAGAAGTGTCAAAATAAGTGCCTCATTATGTGTTACCCTTAGGCTGAGCTAAAATGTAGGCATCCATGCATTAAAGCAAGTAAACTTGTTCCAAGTGCTCACCAAGTGTTTTAAAGTTACACCACTTTGGGGAAGGAGTACCTCTGGGTCATGTTACCCAGCTCATATTGTGGTAACATCAGTCAACTCCCACAAAGATGAAGTGAGCAAGCTGGGTCCTCCAATATCCCAGGATGCACCTACCCCAGCCTCCCCATTCCTGCTCTGGGAACAATCTACCCACCCTCCCAAGCTCTACTGTCCAGGGGCAGGTGGAGACCCGCCAATGCCAGGAGGACAGACAGAGC